GCTGGCGCCTCACGCGGGCCAGTCCTACGAACACCAACAGGGTAGGAAGTTGCTCGCCGACATCGAGTACGTCATCGATTTCGTGCAGATGCAGCGCTTTGCAGACCCGTTGCAACTCGAGGTTCTCCACGCCATGAGAACTCCAGGCGGAAAAAATATCTCTGACGAGAGCTGGCGGGCGATCGTCAAAACAGAGGTCGTTAGCCCTAGCGGTGCTGCTCAGCCTGCTGCCAGCAGCAGCGAAGCCGCTCAGCCACCTCAGTGGGACCCTCGGTTGCGTGCAGCACGAGGCTGGTACGAGTCGGCCTATGAGTGGCGCATCGTCTCTTACGCCATGCATGCACAGGCCAAGCTTGATGCGCACGATGCTGGCCAGCTGCTCTTTTACGTCCCAGCAATCGACAGACCAGCTGCGCGCCTCGCGAAGCCTGATTTCGACGAGATGCGCGCGGAGCCCAACATCGGCGCTACCGCAAAAATGCCGGGGCTGCTGCCGCTCTTCGTTGGCATGGAGGTCATCCTGACAGAATCCGTCTTGCCGCCGAAGTATGTCCGTGGCGCGCCAGGCAAAGTGGTAGGCATAGAGCTGCACGCTCTGGAGCCTCCGGTGGAGGGCCGCCCGTCCATTGTCTCGGACGGCGTGGTCGTACTCTACTACATGCCAAAGGCCGTCTATGTCAAGATCGATGACAGCGATGAACTTTTCTTGAAGGCCGCGCCGGTGACAGCTGGCAGTGCTTCTCAGCCTGCCGGCCCCGACCTGCGCGGAGTGCTCGCGATCACCCCGCAGGCGCGCCCCTGGAAGTTCAAAGCGAAGACAGGTGGCCCGGCCATCGCGGTGTCCAGGACGCAGTTGACCGTGCTGCCCAAAAAGCAGGGGACTCTGCATGGCGTCCAGGGCAAGACGACGGACCCAGGCTTCATCGTGCACTGGACGTTTCCGCCAGGACTCAAGAAGGAGTCCATTTGGCTTGCCTACTACGTCAGCCTGTCGCGCCCCAGAAGCTTCAACCAACTCTTGAGCCACGGCTTGCCTGACCGGAGCATCATCGAATCCGGCCCCCCGGAACAGATCGCCAAGGCCTTCGCCGAGCTCTTCGCGGACAAGATTGCCGCGACGAAGATCGCTTGCGCGAAGGCCCGACAGCAACTGGGATGGCCTGCGCGAGCTTGAGGAGCCATGAGATGCAGGTTGCGTTGTGGCGGTGCTGTTCAGTCTGTCCGTCTGCATTCGCGTGGTGCTTCTCAGCCTGCATGCGCGTGGTGCTTCTCAGCCTGCGCTCGTGTGCAGCTGTGCGCGGTGAGCCTGCGCGTGTCGCGGAATGCTTTTCAGCCTGCGCGTGTCTGCAATGCTTTTCAGCCTGCACGCTTTGCAGCTTCTCCGCTTCGCACGCCGCTCCTCAGCGCGGTCCTCTGAAAAAAGGACAGTCATCATCTCATCGTCGCACTCATCATCGCACTCATCATCATCATTCATTGCCAGCGTTGATAGCAGTGTCTCGTTTTTACACGACTCCCACTGTTGATAGCAATGTCTCGTTTTGACACACTTCCAGCGTTGATAGCAGTGTCTCCTTTTTACACGACTCCCACCATTCACAGCAAAGTTTCGTTTTGACACACTGCGAGCGTTGATAGCAGTATCTCCTTTTTACACGACTGCCACCATTGATATCAGTGTCTCGTTTTGACACACTTCCAGCGTTGATAGCAGTGTCTCCTTTTTACAGGACTCCGAACTACAACTACTACTTCACTGTTACCACTGTTTCATCTTTCCTGCTCTCGTTGCTAATGCTACTGCGACTGTTACTGCTGCTGCATGCCTCCAGCTATGCTTCTACATATCGATGTTAGGTTGCTTTGCCGGGATAATTTTTCGGGGATGGGTGGGGGTCTCTGGGAGCGACCCGAGTTGGGTTGCCAGGGGTTCCCCGAGCGCGTGGCTGAGCTCCAGGTCAGTGCCCCAGAGCACGGCCACAATTTTGCGGTCACCCAGGCTGGCGACGATGAGCTGCCGTTGTTTTGTTCTGTATGGCGTGCGGTGCGTGCGCTCAGGGAAACGCGCGGACGTTTTTCTCGAAGTGCCGACCACGACGCAGAGGGGGTGAGACCCAAAGGCTGACGCGTTTCCGCCGTGGCTGGCACCCCCAGCGTGATGCGCGCGTCTCCTGTGCCGAGCTTGGAGACCAGGTCGGGCGCGAGGAGGCTACTGTGTGCTTGCGGGTGGCAAGGCAGAGCGCCTTGAAGGCTTTCGCCGCTCCGCCGCTCCGTTGCACTGCTCGAAGGCCGCTCGAGCGCGAATTGCTACTCGCGAGGAGGAGGAGGAGGAGGAGGAGGAGGAGGAGGAGGAGGAGGAGGGGGAGGAGGAGGAGGAGGAGGCAAATTGGTCGGCCGACTGCGGCGAGTCGAATATTTTTTGGCCGTCTTCGCGGCCTCCGCGGCACCTCTGGGCCTGTCTTGCGGCCCTCCTGGCTTCCAGAAAACGCGCGCGATGCGCCCCATGAGCTCCCCGAAAAGCCAGGGAGTGCCCAGGGGCCGCGGGGGGAAGTCGAGATGCTGGGCCCTTTCGAATCTAGAATCCTCGCCAGAGTCCTTTGGAGTCGGGGATTCGGGTCGCCATGCGCCCAGTTAGGTAGGGTACAAAACGAGGACCCACAAGGAACGCGTGATGCAATGGACGAGTGTAATCGTAGTTGTTGTTGCGCATGGTATAACAACGCATGATGCCGACACTGTTCAGGCTGGCGGCTGTGGCCATGAATATGGTGACGACGACGACGATGATGATGCTGCTTTTGATGATGGTAGTGTTTGTGCTGACGATAGTGATGCCAATGACCTGGCGACAGTGACAATGACGATGGCGACGATGATGGTGACGATGGTTATGAATGTGCTGCCGATGATGGTGATGGCAATGGGGACGTGTAACATGATGATGCTCGACGGTCATGATGATGATGGTGGTGATGGTGGTGATGGTAGTGATATTGATTGTGGTGGTAGTGGTGGTGGTGATGCTGATGAGTGGCGTGGTGATGATGATGGTGATGGTGATGATGCTGACGCTGATGATGATGAGGTTGATTGTGGACGAACTGCAAGTACCGCTGATAATGGCAATGCTGGTGATGCTGTTGTTGACGATGGTGATTGTGGTGATGGCCACGATGCTGATGACGATGATCACGATGTTGATGCTGATGTTCGTGATGAGCATTACGATGACGATGGCCATGCCGATGACGATGATTAGTATGCAGATGATGCGGGTGATGATGATGATGATGGTGCTGATGATGCTCGTGATGATGATGATGGTCATGATGATGATGCTGATGATAATGCTGATGACTATGATGATGCTGCTGATGATCATAATGCTCATGATGCTGATGATGGTGGCGACCATGACGATGACGATTTCGATTTGTATTATGATACTGATGGTGATTACGATTATGATGATCTTGGTGATGCTGCTGCTGATGGTGATGATGATGGTGATGATCGTGCGGGTACCGCTACTGATGATGATGATTCATGGTGCTGACGATTATGGTGGTGGCGATGGTGATTATGTTGATGCTGCGACTGACGGGGCATATACTGATGACGATGCTCATGACGATGATGATGGTGATGACGATGATGACGATGGCGATGATCATGAAGCTGCTGATGAGGATGATACTGTGATGATGCCGAGGATGATTATGATGTCGATGATGATGATCACGATGGACATGATGCTGCTGATTATGATGATGATGATGATGATGATGATACGGATGATGATGTGGATGCTGATGCTGATGCTGATGATTATGTTGATGATGATGACGGTACTGGTTATGATGAAATTGATGATGACGATGACCATGACGATAATGATGATGATGCTGATGCTGATGATGCTTTTGCTGCTGATGATGATGATGATGATGACGATGCTGATGCTGATGTGGTGATGATGGTGATGCCGATGATTATGATGATCATGCTGAGGATGATGCTGGTGGTGGTGATGATGATGACAATGATGATGACAATGATGCGGATGATGATGATGCTGATTGATGATGCTGACGCTAATGACGATGACGATGATGATGATGCTGATGATGATGATGATGATGATGATCATGCTGATGATGATGATGGTGGTGGTGATGATGATGATGCTGAACATGCTCACGATGATGATGTTGATGTTGATGATGATGATGATGCTGCTGATGATGATGAAGGTGGTGGTGGTTGTGGTGATGCTCTCATCATCCCTGCATTGAAATTATGGTAGATGATGATGACGAAGATGCATGCTGCGATGATGATGAAGATGAATGATGAAGGTGATGGATGATGGTGATGGTGAAGATGATGATGAACGAATCTGATGATGATGAAGATGAGAAGAAGAATAGAGAATGATGGATGATGATGATGATGATGCTGTTGATGATGATGATGATGACGATGATGAGGCTGCTGATGATGATGACGATGATGATGATGATGACGATGATGATGATGATGATGATGATGATGATGATGATGATGATGATGATGATGATGATGATGATGATGATGATGATGATGAGAAGGAAGAGGAGGAGGAGCAGGAGGAGGAGCAAGAGAGTAATGACAATGACGAGGAGGACAACGAGGAGGAAGAGGAGGAGGAGGAGGAGGAGGAGGCGGTAGGATGAGGAGGAGAGAGGAGGAGTGAAGGAGGAGGAAAGGAGGAGTGAGAGGAGGAGGAGTGAGGAGGAGGAGGAGGAGAGGAGGAGGAGAGGATTAAGGAGGATGAAGGAGGAGGAGGGAGGAAGGAGGGAGGATGAAAAAGGGGAACAAAATTGAGGAGTTGGGATGATGAGGGGGATGCTAGTGGGGGTGTCTACAAGGCGTTCTCGCGCTTATGTCGGCGCTCTCCCCGCGGCATGAGGCACGAGAAGGAGGAGGAGATGGGCGCCCCGCCCTTCGCCCACGGCGAGGGGGCGTGCCTGAGGGCGCTGCTGGACCAACTGCGCGAGCTGCAGCCCAGGCGGGCTTCCGCTCTCTTGCAGAGGTCGGCCAGGAAGGCGTGGGCAGACAAAGCGCAGATGTTCCCTACGTGCGGCCAAGACGTTGGATTGAGGACAACCTCGGGTTCGAAAGGGGCTCGCTGTTCCTTGGGTAATTCTGTGGTTGCTCCTGTAACCCTTCTCGTGCACCTAGTTTTTTTTTGTCCCAGAAAGAGGCCTCGTTCCTGATTTAGCGTTCCTTGTTCCGGCAACCCGACTGCAAGGAGTTGGCGATTTGTTCTCCAATCGACTTGCGGGGATCAGGCGAGGAGAGACCCAGACACATCGAGGACGGGTGGTTATGTTCACGGTGGTGCAGGGCGTCGAGTGATAATAATCATATGAAAGATGGTAGTAATACTAACTATACTTTCGGTACTAATTATATGAATACTACTCGTCCTAAAAAACCTAATCGCAGTAGCAATAAGGATAATACGATTTAGAAAACTGCTCATAGCATATAAGTAATACTGGTACGATTAGCAACATACTATCACAAAAAACACACACACATACTGGTAATACTAATGTCAATACTCATATTTTAAGTAAGACTCATTTCGCTAATACTAACATTATGATTGCTACTACCAGTATGATTAACACAACAGCACTGACACTACCAATGCTAATACGAAAAAGATATTACCAATGAACACAACAATTTCTCATACAAATATGCAAGGGGCTAGGCGTGGATGTTCGCAGATCCGACGGGTTTTCTCGGATCGGCGCAGGGCCCCCCTCGCAGCGCCTCCTGCGCCGCCCCCGGCGCACTCCGCGCGCCAGGGAGGGAGGTCCAGCCCAGCGCAGATCCAAGACATCCGGGCGTACCTCCGAGCGTTTTGTGTTCATGCAGCCTGCTCGGCGCACCTGGCGTTTCGCAATTCGCGGGCTCCTCCCTGGGCTCAACCTCGCTTCGTCGTCGCGCCGCTACGGGGGTCGAAGCACCTTCGGCGCGCGCTGGCTGCCCGCGACGGGGGTCGATGTGGGGCTGTCGGCGGGGGTTGCGCCCCCACCGCGCTCATTAAGACACTCGGAGTACGTTTTTGGCACGAGTGGAGCTCGAACGCCAATTTGGTTTGCGCAGTGCTCGCGGGGCGGCGCTCACATGATTGCGCATACCGTCGCCAGTTTAAAGATCATCTTGCGCCCATCTTTACCAGGGTGGCGGTCATTAGCGGCCCCCGGAAGTCCCAGCCCTTTTCCCAGGACTTTTTTCTCATCCCGAGTCGTCTTTTGACGGTCCCGGTCCCGGGGGCGAGTGTCCTCCGAGGCCGAACATGGCCCAAGCCCTCCTGTCGTTCCCGAATCAGTGCTTGCACTGAAGGTGTCCTAGCAGAAGTTGAAAGAGTTGGCGAAAGTTTCCCGCCGATTTTGGTAGCAGGCTGGGTTCCCGGGTTCCCGGTTCCGGGTTCCCAGGTTCCTGGTCATTGGTTCCGGCCCGGTTTCGGTGCGTTCTCGGTTCCCGGGCTCCTGGGTTCCCGGTCGATCTCCTCAGCGAAAACCATCCTCCGATCGTTTTTTTTCTCTGGTGTGATGTTTTTTGGTGCGACGCGATCATGTCTGGGTGGGTGGGCGACGGCGCGTGGAGGGGTTAAGCGGACGCCCGCTGAGCGGGCGAGAGGCGCAGAGGCGCGCCTGCCTTCCCCCGCTCCCCGCCAGACGGACAGCTGCCTCCCCCAGCCACTCCGACGCTGCCGCCGGGAGGGGCGGACGGCCTCACAGGAGGAAAAAGTGCCCAGACTGCTACCCTCCGCCTGTTTTCCGCTCTGTGGGCTTCCCGGGACGCCCTCGTCGCCACCGCTAGATTCGCTTCGAAATCCTGGTGAGAACGCGCTCCGGGGGCGGTCGTGGGAGTAGCAGTGTCGGTGCCTTCTGGGCCTGGGTGGATATAAATCGGGGCCATTGACGTGGGCAACCCCCACCCCGGGATAATCATTGGGCCCCCCCTTAACCCCTGAGAGTTGATTGTCCCGAGCCAATGCAGGTTTGGTCATGGAAGAGAGGCGGCAAGGCCGAAGTCGATTATCGCGGGGGAAAATTGCGAATCGAAGTTGCTCTCTTCTTATGTTGAATCGCAGGGATTCCTAAGGATTGCCATTGATTTCATCAGGAATCCTACGGGTGTCCTAGGGGGTCCCATGGATGTCCGAAAAGGAATCTTATGAATTTCCCTAGGGCTCCTATGGATTTCCTCCGGTTTTCTATAGACTTCGTAAGGAATCCGATGCACCCCCCAAGGAATCCTATAGATTTCCTAAGGAACCCTATGGATTTCCGAAGGAAGCCTTTGGTTTCCAATAGATTTCGCAAAGGATCCATGGGATTCCTTACGGAACCCACCCGTAGGATTTCTTTGGACATCTATAGAAATCCTTAGGACATTCATAGGAGCCCTCAGGAAATCCATAGGATTCCTTCGGGAATCCATCGGATTCCTTAGGACGTCCATCGGAGCCCCTAGGAAATCCATAGGAGTCCTTAGGACATCCACCGGAATCTTCATGAAATCCGTAGGACTCTGGAGGATGTCCATAGGATGCTTTAGGGCATCTATCGGGATCTTCAGGAAATCCATACGATTCTTCAGGAAATCTATCGGATCCCTCAGGCAATATATCTATATATATATATATATATTTCATAAGGACATCCATAGGATCCTATAGGATATCCACAAGAATTCCTAGGACATCCATAGGATCCCGAAGGAGATCCATGAGAACCCTTAACACATCCATTGGATTGCTTCGGGAACCCTTAAGACATCCATTGGATTCCGTAGACAATCTATCGGAATTCGTTGGAAATCCATACGATTCCTTTTCTGGGCCGGCGCCGGCTTCTGCGGCGGCGGGCGGCGGCGGCGGGGAGCGTGGACGAGGGCGAAGGCGGCGACGATGACGACGACGCTCCGCCACCGTGCCATGGTGTTGGGTCAGAGTCCCAATGGATGCCTCTTGGGGTCTCGTCGGAAGGCTCTCGGGGGTCTCTCGAGAGCGTTTTTTCCTCCCCCCCCCCCCCCCCCTCCCCTCTGGCGGGTAACGCTTGCTACCCGTGCTCCCCCCCCCGGGGTAACGCCAAAGATCGTCCGTTTTCGGAGGGTGGAGGGCGGATCCTCCTCCTCTCAGCAGGTATGGCGCTGTGTTCACAGGCATGGCGTGGTGCTGAAAGGCATGGGTTGTGCTCACAAGCGTGTTGTGGCGTTCGCAGGTTCCCCACCTGTTGCGGCGCCGAATTCACAGGCATGGCGTGGTGCTAAAGGCATGTTTCGGGTCTCGCCTGCCCTTTGTGGCGCGTGCAGGCTATTGCAGTGCGCAGACTATTGTGATTTTTCTTCTACATCCCTATGTTCCTTCCCCCTGCTCTTCCTACTGGTGGAACTCCGGAAGCAATGGTGCCAGGGGATTTCGCAGCCATGTCTGGGTGGCGCAACGGTTTTCCCGCGTCTGTTACAATTGGCGCTGACGTAGGCGAGGCGACGTCGAACGATGCCATGACTGCAGCTGCTGTATGGCAAAACATAATCCTACCTCCTTCCGCCTGCTCCACTGCCTACTAGCATCCTCCCGTTTCTTCGTCGTCCTCTGCCCCTCCTCCTCCTCCTCCTCGTCCTCCTCCTCTCCTCCCCCTTCCCCTCTGGATTGCGCTGTGCGCGTTTGGGATTATAAGAGTGGCCGTTTGGGCCATATGGGGTTATCCGCGCGGCGCCCTTGCCCCTTCGCCTCGTCCCCCCCTCGCTCCTCGTCCTCCTCGTAGGCTTTCGTTTGCATTTGCGGGCCGAATTTTGTGGCATTCTCGTTGCGCGGTGGCGCGCCGAGATACGATGTGGTTGTTTTCTCTTACGTGCTCATGTGCCATTCAAAAAAACAACCCTTCCAACCTCCCCCAGTCCCTCCCGCCTCCCTCCTCCCCGCTTCGCTCCCGAGTTTTACCTTTTTTTTTCCCCCATGACATCCCATCTCCTCTTGGCCGTCTCGTTCGAAGCAAGCTGCGGATGGCCTCCCCCGCGACATCTTGAATATCAAACCCCGAGGGCCTCCTTAGTTCGCGGCGAGCCCCGCAAAGCGGCGGGGGAGGATGATGGGGGATGGGGAGGAATACCAAACGCAGGAGGAGGAAGAGGAGGAGACAGTGTGGTGCGCACGGGCGCTGTGGCGCACACGCCTGTTGCACTGTACGAAAACACTGCGGCGTACGCGGGCGACGTGGTGAGGGTTTCCGCGGTCACGTGGCGGGCCCCGCAGGAAAAAAATGTTCGCAAGCTACTGATGTGCCCGTTGGCACGTTTTGTTGTAGGCAGGCGTTGTGGTGCACAGAAGCATTGTGGCGTGCGCAGGGCCTGTGGTGCACATGGTTGCTGGTGTGCGCGCGGGCCATAAGCGCGCTGGCGCACGCAGGCAATGTGGTGTACGCAGGCGTTGTTGCGCACACGGTTGCTGCAGTATACACAAATACTGCGGCGTACATGGGCGACGTGGTGGCGTTGTGCACGCAGCTGTTGTGGTGCGCCGAAACATTGTGGTGCAGTCAGGCGGCGTTGTCTTGCACGAGGGCATTTGGCATTGTCGCGTGCACAGGGGTTGCAGCGATCGCGGGCAATTGATGTGTGTGCCGATGGCGCGGACGCACCCTGGCGGGCGCGCGCCGCGGCCGCCGTTACGGTTACCCATCGGCCCAGACCGCCCCCCCCCCGGGTAACAACCGCTACCCAAAATGATATCATGTATCTCCTGAAGAAGCATTTCTGCAGCCTCCTGGGCGCCTCTTGAGCGTTTGTTGGGCCTCTCTGAGGTTGTGGTGTTGGTGGTGGGCTGTGGTGGTGTTGGTGGTGGTTGTTGCGGTGGCGGTGGTGTTGGTGGTGTTGGTGTGGTTGGTGGTTGTGGTTGTGGTTGTGGTGGTGGTGGTGGTGGTGGCACGTTGTGGTGGTGGTGGCGGTGGTGGGTGTGGTGGTGCGGTGGTTTCTGGTGGTGGT